AGCTGCACGTCGACTCTGGTGATCACGGAGGCCTCGCAGATGACGCCCAGGAAGGACAGACCCTGGGGGTACGCGGGCACGTAGAAGCGGCCGAGGTCCTTGGCGCCGGTGCCGAAGAGCTGGAGGAACGTCTCGTCCTCGTTGTCCACGTCCACGAAGATGGCGCCGTAGCCGGCCACGGTGGCGCGGTCATCCTTGGCGGGGACGGAGAACAAGATGCTGAAATGGTTGTCCTCAAGGGGGCTGAAGATGCGCTCGGGGCTGAAGGCCTGGAACTGGTTGGGGTGGTCCTTGTTGATGCTGTCGAACAGGTTGTCCGGGAAGCCCGGGTCGGTCTTGGGGGGGTTGCTCACGCGGAACTCGTCGGTTTGGACGAGCTCCAGGCCGCGCGTGACAACGTCGCGGAAGAAGTTGCCGGGCATGTCGAAGGGCACCGCGTCCGCGTCCCAGTCGATGGACCTGCGCAAAACGCCCGCAGCCAAAAAGCGCTTAATGCACGGAAACGTCATCAGTCACACCGACAACGGCGGCGAGCGAACGAGTGTGACCTAACCCTGGGCAATTCCGGGGTTCGCTCGGCCGCCTTTCGCTTCGAGCTCCGTGCGGTTATTGCGGCGGCGCCGCCTTTGATAGTCGTTTTTGATGCCTCACCTGAAGCCCTTCTTGAGGGGCCCCGGGGCGTTTCCGTTGTCCTCGCCTCCCAACTCCCGCTGGAACCTCTCGAAGGCCTTCCGGACATCGCCGACGCCGCCGGCTGCGGAAATGACGAGCGGCTTCCCGCACTGCACATGCTCATGCGCCAAGGCGCCGTTGAGCGCCGACGCCAGCACGAGCAGGCACGCGGCGATGAGAGCTGGGGTCTGCAATCGCAGCGGAACAGTCGGACTCAGCGGCTGGGATGGGCAACGCAAGGGGGGCTGGGTGCGCATGAACGGCAGATGGGAGGTTGGCCGGCTTACCTTCATTCCGGAGACGCGGCCTGGTGTGGGCTCTCTGTGCACCTGTCCAGGATCACACCATTTCAGCGCCGGCGATCAGAGCAAGTGGTTTCTCAGCAAGAGGCTGTTGCGTTTGCCAGAGGCGTTAGGTGGACACAGGGCGCCGCAAGGCGGGCCTCCTTCTCAACCTTGCCAGTGCTCTCCATCTCAAAAGAAAGCCTTCGTTTGGCGCTCTCCCTGACCTTCTACTGAGAGAATGGACGATCGCGCGCTTGCTGCGACCCGATTCCGAAACATCGGCCGGACCCCACCAGGTTGCCGCGGTCTAATTCCATTTTGCGCTGCGTGTGCGACATCCCCTGAAGGCCCAGGTCCACAGTACCAGACACCAACAGAGTTGCGCCCCCCGATGCCTGCCTGGAAACGAGTCCCGATGGTCGGATCTCCAGGCCCGTCACAAGACCCGGCGCTTGGAGACCGTTGATCCATTAGCCCCACGCACCTGGAGGCCGGCACTCCCCCGCAGCCCGCCAGGCAACAGCCGCTCCTTGCAAGCTCCTGCTCACTGCCAGGATACGAACTACTCGCTCTGAACGCGGTGGACAGGGTCGCAACTTGCAAGCTGCTGGTTCCAGGGACTGGTGCCCAACTTATACGTTTGCTGGCGCTCCTGGGTTGGGCGGCCCCGAGCTTGAGTGATGTTCGATCGCAACGTCACAAGCCTCCCACCATGCGCCTGCCACACCATGATGTGCAGCAATTGTGTGACAGCGGCCGCGCTGCCACCCTTGGAAGCAGCAGTTGGGCGCTGCCACGTAACGGGAATGTCACGCTGCTGGCGTCATGCACGAGCAGTGAGAATGACAGGTGGTCTCTGCTGCGTAGCGGCAATGTCACACAGCCGGCGCCTTGGCTGGCAAGTGAGAATTGATTGAGAGCTCTGGCCCATGTCGCAACAGCGATTCCAGAGTGGGAACCCCACCAGGGTTCATAACAGGATATTTAGTTAGCGCTAGGCAGACGCACATAATTGGGAAAAGTTCCCAATCATCATCTGCCTAGAGGGTTCTGAGGCACCTGGAGAGACTGTTCAGTCACTGCAAGTGTGCACGTGTACTGACAGCACACACATGTAAATGTGTATGGCAGTGCAAAGAATGCCCGCATGGCAGCTGAGCCCTGATTTGCCAGCAGGTAATTTGCAACTGCCTGGGTTGTTAGGGGAACCCCTACCTCAACCGGTTGAGTTCGGGGAGGGCAACCCGCCTAATCATCCCTGTGATGAGGAGCTCATTGCCATCGAGCCCCCGCATCAGCGTCATCGAAGCAAAGGCCCACAACATCTGATCTGTCCCTCCGGTTCTGCTTACTGCTGCAGGCGTTGAAAAACGCCATGAAGAAATGAGTACGTAAAAGAGCCCCTAGACTGGCCAACATGCCGAAACACCTGTTCTGCAGATAAATAGAACCCAATTTGCGATAAGCAGTTGTATCCCTTTTGCCTTCTACCTGTCTCCTCGGCATGAACCAAAAGTATGTTTTGATGCATGAATCGCTCTCAAGATTGTTTTTCTGCCTGCTGATGGCGCCACTCTCAACAATCAGCGAACAAATGGCCTGCAAATGCCATTTATGTTGGTTCAGAGAATATTCATCCAGAACCACCACATCCTGCACGCCTGTTCATCTGCCCCCCGTCAAACTCGCGTTGCCGAAGCTCACAACCATCTTTGCGGTGTTCGCCAGGGCAAACTCAACTCCCAGGAAAGGCAGCCCTGCGGTGCAACGGGCACATAGAATTGACACAGGGATTGTTTCTTGGCGTCGAAGAACTCGATACACTTGTCATTTTCGTTGTCCAGGTCGATGGAGATGGCTCTTTACGCCGATATCACGGCTCCCTCATTCAGGTTGGGAGCAGAGAGCTCCACCTCAACAGAGTTGTGGTTCAAAGGGCCAAATATCCTCTCGGGGTTGAACACACGAATCTGTAGTGGATGCTGGGATTCACGCTATCAAACAGGTTGTTCCAAAACACGCCCGGGATGTCTTCCAGTGCAATCTGCAACGCAGGGTTGCCCACACGGTACTCAATGCCTTCCGAATTCGAAGGTGCCCGAGGGAGTCCGCCATCAGCACCACTCCCCGTGGGATTGTGTTGTGGAAAAAATTTGAAATGTATGTCAAAACGTATGAGATCCGCGTCCCAACTGATCGGGCCCTTGGACGCAGCACATTAGGCATCAATCCCAACATGGGGTCAAAGCCAAATGATCGCTTGTGCGCACATTTCGGCCAAGCGAAATTGGGAGGTCAAGGGCTGCACGCCTGCCAAGAAACGGAAAACATTCCTTGACAGCTCCCTCCATGCACATGCGCATGAGCCAGTATATATACGGTATATACTGGCTTTGTTCTTTCGAGGCCCGTACATGTGCGCGCTTCTAGCAGTCGCCATACGGCAGAGGCTGCCGCCACATATATATGAGAGCTCTTCATCGCTGCAACACACTCGGATGGCGGCATCAGCGGGTACTCCTGGACATGTTGGGCACCATGACCGCACCCACCATCGACGGAACCTGGCCTGTCGCCGTTGTCCTCGCTCCTCAGTCTCCACTTGAAGGACTCAAACGAGGTCGACACTTCCAGCACGTCGCCCACGGCCTCCGTGATGTCCGACTAACCGTAAGAAAAAACCACTGCTCCAACTCAGAGCCACAGCGTCCCCCTGACCCCGCGCGGTGCCCAGGCCACCACGAGCAGTGCGGTCACCAGCCGGGCTTCCTTTCAACGCAAAGCGACAACTGCCACTGGATCAGCCAAGGCGTTGTACATGTACAACGTGGTCGCGGTTGAAGCCCCAGCCGCGTAAGCATGATGGGGGTGGTTTTGAGTGGGAGGCGGGTGGGTGGGTGGGGGGTGGGGCTAGCTTTCAAGGAGTTCCTTCCTTTCTTCTCTGCGAACAGGCCGTGACGCCCATCCGCAGTTTGGATTGCAACCATCATGCTTATCTGCCGCGGGCGACTGCCCCGTGACGTGTATGTACGGAACATATACGTAACGTGTATGCATGCAATGTTGCGTGGAATCGCACACATGACGAACGGGGCAGCTGCGGAATGTGCTGGTCCGCGGGGACCGGTGCGCGGCGGCGCGGATCCACGGCATCCCCCATCATTCCCGCAACGCAGAGAGAGGTTAGTGTGACAACTGCCTGGTCACTGGGTCGCAGATGCGCACATGACAGCACCACGCCATCTGATCGGCTGTAAGTGTGAGAGCCGCTGTGCAAAGCCGCAATCACTGCTATGTCAACGGGGGCCTGGGGGCAAGCATATAAGAGCGGTGGCGGTCCCTGGTGACGGCAAACCAGCGAGCTGCAGCTTGCACAGAAGCACTTGCACAGCAGCATTGGCATAGGAGCGTTGCTGGCAGCTTCGCCAGGCTCTCTCGGGTCCCAGCTGTGCGCTCCCGGCATTCTGCCGTCGATCGAGTCCAGGTGCGGGGCAGCCCAACGCTATGTGCTGACTGGCAAGATGGGCGAGGTGGCGTTGATGATCCAGGAATCTTGGACAGCTGTCCACGCCAGGCTGCAGTCTGGGCGTCTTAGGCAGGCCGCCCTCGGCAATCCCCAGCCACTTCGTTCCGAATCTAGTTCTCAGCGAGCGCACGGCAAAGCTAGCGGGCATGCCGTTGCGAGCACAGTGCTGTACACTGCTCTCACTGCTCTTGAGAGTGGAAAGTGGTCGCCACGGACATGGACTTGCTGATGATCACTGGCTGCCCTGGACTTCTCTGTCCGCAGTTGGCGTAGCTGCCAGTCAATTGACTGGCAATGAAGTTTGAAGGAGGCCGGGCTGCCTGTTGCTCAGAAAGCCTCGTTTACTTGTAAACTGTGAGGTCCAATCCGGACTGTGGTTCCACTGCAGAGAGAATAGAGTTTGCGTTCCAGCTGGGGTCGTGACCTTTGCTCCACTGTTCGCTCCCAGGTGCAGCAAACTCCGCACTTGTGGGAAGATTCCCGCGCATAGAGAGCCCACACCACGCCACGTCTCCCGAATGAAGGTAAGCCGGCCAGCCGCCCATCTGCCGCTCATGCACACCCAGAAAGTGCTTTTCCGAAGGCCCCCCGCCCCCCCACCGGCAGGGACCCCCGTGCGTTGCCCATCCCAGCCGCTGAGTCCGACTGTGCCGCTGCGATTGCAGACCCCAGCGCTCATCGCCGCGTGCCTGCTCGTGCTGGCGTCGGCGCTCAACGGCGCCTTGGCGCATGAGCATGTGCAGTGCGGGAAGCCGCTCGTCATTTCCGCAGCCGGCGGCGTCGGCGATGTCCGGAAGGCCTTCGAGAGGTTCCAGCGGGAGTTGGGAGGCGAGGACAACGGAAACGCCCCGGGGCCCCTCAAGAAGGGCTTCAGGTGAGGCATCAAAAACGACTATCAAAGGCGGCGCCGCCGCAATAACCGCACGGAGCTCGAAGCGAAAGGCGGCCGAGCGAACCCCGGAATTGCCCAGGGTTAGGTCACACTCGTTCGCTCGCCGCCGTTGTCGGTGTGACTGATGACGTTTCCGTGCATTAAGCGCTTTTTGGCTGCGGGCGTTTTGCGCAGGTCCATCGACTGGGACGCGGACGCGGTGCCCTTCGACATGCCCGGCAACTTCTTCCGCGACGTTGTCACGCGCGGCCTGGAGCTCGTCCAAACCGACGAGTTCCGCGTGAGCAACCCCCCCAAGACCGACCCGGGCTTCCCGGACAACCTGTTCGACAGCATCAACAAGGACCACCCCAACCAGTTCCAGGCCTTCAGCCCCGAGCGCATCTTCAGCCCCCTGGAGGACAACCATTTCAGCATCTTGTTCTCCGTCCCCGCCAAGGGTGACCGCGCCACCGTGGCCGGCTACGGCGCCATCTTCGTGGACGTGGACAACGAGGACGAGACGTTCCTCCAGCTCTTCGGCACCGGCGCCAAGGACCTCGGCCGCTTCTACGTGCCCGCGTACCCCCAGGGTCTGTCCTTCCTGGGCGTCATCTGCGAGGCCTCCGTGATCACCAGAGTCGACGTGCAGCTCGGCAACGCGGAGCTGCCCCAGACCGACCTGCCGCCCGAGTACGAGGTGGTGGTCATGGACGACTTCCTGTTCTCGGAGCCCCAGGCCATCGTCCAGAAGAAGCCCGCACACGCACCCGGCCGCAAGGAGGGGTCGGGGTACGGCTACGGGCGTTAGAGCGTGGGAAAATTGACATTCAATTTGCATTGGAAAAGACAGCTCTCTTCGAATCAGCGTTTGCACATCACTTGGTGTGAAATCCCGATCATGGGTTGGGCTGTTGTACAGTTTGCTAGTGTGGGGGAAGAACAAAGCCGAGGCCCGAAGCAGTCGCGTTGGAGAGGTGCGGTCCTTGATAGCGTTTGACGGGGAGTTGAATGTCAGGTAGCTGGTTGTGTGCATTTGGAAAGAGCAGAGGAGAGCCTCGTCAGGGCTTGCGGGCAGTGATAGGACACTTGCTGTTGCTCTGACGGCCCAGCCAGGTGAACTGACGCTGCCGTGCCATTTGTCGTGATCTGCTGAGTTCCAAGATGGATGTTTGTGTTGCTCTGTGACAAATTCGCCATGTTGTGTCGACTGACAAGATTTCCTATGGTGCACCCTGTTTTACTTCGAGCAAGTCTGCGTCAGAAATACATCCCTGCTGAAGAGAAGGTGCAGGAGTCCCCATTGCATTACTTATTGTACAACGGTCCGCCTAGTGTTTTCACAAAATCGACCCTCCCGGCACCTACACGTCCCCCAAGGGTCGGTAGATTACGCAGAATGGCCATTTCGTCCAGGTTGGGATATTCGTTGCAATGTAGGCTGCTTTTTTCCTTTTGGCTGGGCCCACAAGTAGACAAAGCGCTTGAACCAATGGCTGGCAAGCTTGACAGTCCCATGCGACATTGCATGGGATGCAACTGACGATGGGGACAAAACCCTAAAGATAGTTTCCATTAACGCAGGAGCTTGCTTCGAGATTGAAAATTCCCCATGGCATCAAATTTCCAATCTATGTACAAGGTCGGAGCCTTGCACATTGCACGCATGATGCTCCTATGGGGTAATTTGCAATCTATGTACCAAGAGAACCTACATTTTACTGCCCTGATTCCGTTTGATCATAACGATACAGGGGAAAACACAGTTGACCCAAAACCTGGGCTTTGAACTGATGCCTCAGTTTAATTTGGATACTGCCGTCGCAATGTAGTTTTAGGAAGATATTACTAAAGATATCTTTAAGATCTTCCTTAGTCGTTTTAGGAAGATGTTCCCCCCGTCTAGGCGAGGGTAGGAAAACTGCACTCCATGGCTGGCTGTACTGTCGTGCGCTTTAGTGCTTCCACGTTTCGCCGTGCGTACCCACTCGTGAAGCACCGTCTTTGGAGTTCCACTCGCAGCCTGCCGAGCAAGATTCTCTTCGTCGTGCGTACCCACTCCTGAAGACCGTCTTTGGAGTTCCACTCGCAGCCCGCCTAGCCAGATTCTCTTTGAATCTGCAACAGTGAATCGCCTTAATCTAAACCGAGATTTGCTACTGTGCACGTAAATCTATGTGATAGAATTTGAAATCCATTTCAGCTCATTGCGCAGCATGTATTGTGCAGTGTCCATGGAACGCAACGTGGCAAGTCTGAAATATGATATTCGATAAGAATTGGGTTCCCTAGGGTGTGCTTTGAATATCCGACGGTGTCAAAGAGTAGTTCGCACTGCCCTATCATGCCGCATCACACATCGCAAGCTAAGTCACCATGGGGGTTCTGACCAAATTTCAAGTTTGATATTTGAAAATTGTTTGCATGTACGTGTACATGGTCATGCCGTGTTCACGCCTCACAGAAGCTGAAACGGCACAGGCATGGCATCTGATTAAAGGAATCTGAGCAGGCTTGCCTTTACGCCGTAAGAACTGATCGTGTTTATGTTTTTACGCGAAAAAATGCGTAAAAATACGTAAATACAACGTAAAAACTGCCCCGTGTACATAAGGACAGTACATACACATTGACAGAGTCCGGAGAGTGGCAGCCAGATGCCCTGGAAAGTGCAAAAAACGAGCTTTTGCTAAAAGTCATTATTGCCCTTGCCAAGGGCGAGGTGGACATTGTGTTGCGGGTGCTGGAGATGGTGCAGGGCTAATCATTGTACGCAACTTTCATCGTGTAACCTGGGTGTCCCAGGGAGCCCTAAAAACGTACAAATAGCCGCAAAATAGGCTCTTTTGCACATTTACGTTTTTACTTGTAAAGACGTAAAAGTAAAAACGTCAACGTAAACGTAAAAACCAAGCCTGACTCTGAGAATCGCCTTTATTGCACCAGACGTTATATCGTACAGGGCGCAGGACCGCTGATCCGTCCTGCAAAGGTTCACGTAGCTCGGCAGCTATCTCACCAGTCAGTGTTCGCATCCAGACTTGGACCCATTCTTACGTGGCTCACCATGTGGCACGTGACTTCGCTGTTTCTGAAGAAATCGCCATGTGCTGACTCTCCACATTATGTAGAAAATCATTTCGGGAAAGAGATGGCGGCCTCCACAGTCGGTCGATGTGCACACCCGTGGTCAAGGTGCCGCTTCGTGCTGTGCGCATGGTTGTGTGTTTGTCGTTAGATGATTGGCAAATGGAAATACATTTGCAATCGTATATCCGTGGCAGCCCTGGTAGGGCGCCGAAGCCCACGAGGCTAGCCATAAATAGAAAGTGTGCCAGGGAGGGGTCATATAACGACCCTGGCGCTCATCTGCCACGAGGTTAGCCGCACCCGATTAAACTATATGTCATTTACGACAGTTGGCGCACCATAAACTCCAGAAGGCAGCAAACAAAAGGACATGGATCCATGTTTTTTCGGCCTGCTGAAATTCGGATTCAGCAGGCAGGCGGAACAAGTTGTTGTAAATGCATTAAACATGCCAAAACCTTCCCGAAGTAAAACTAAATAAGTAAAAGCACAATGAATAATCGATATATTAATGTATCGCGAATATTCACCGCGTGGCGACGTTGCCGTGGCACATGGACTGAATGGATAGCCAGGCCGCAAAGGGGACATCGCTGTGTGGAAATTATCTGCAACTCTGTTGCCTCCAGCCCTTTCACAGACCGCTTTTACTGGACAGTGCCCACAGCGGCGGACTAGCCAGATCTAAGACCACGATCGGCAGCACCGCAATCAACCGCTCCACGATTTTCCAAACATTTTCATCGTGAGGGTGAAGAAACAATTAACAAGCGACTATGCGACATATGGAGATTTATGGTGAGATGTGGTACGGTGAATATGGCGAGGGTGTTACAGTGACGTGTACATGGACATTTCTGGTGAGATGTGGTACTGTGAATATGGCGAGGGTGTTACGGTGGCACGTACATGGAGAAACGGGAGGGGAAATGGAATGAGTATGTACAATTACTTAACTGGTGCACTCCTCTGGTAACGCATCTGGTTACGGCTTGCTTCCTTGCCTGAGAGTAGCTGAGTGCGGACAGAGCGCGAACAGTCGGAGCGATAGTCATCATGCCTTATGAGATAAAAAGGCATGGAGAGTCGTCAGGTTCCTATTTTGCAAAAGCGAAGTGGTGCCAATGATTTGTTCTTTCAAATGCAATGCATAGCACAGATAAACTCCAGAAATCCATCACTTCCTATTTTCAAGAAGCGTTTGTACATGATGATACATGTAAAGAAGTGTCCTCGCCGGCTGGCGAACGGTGACAGAAGAAAATTGCAGTCAATGGGCCAATGCGGTTTGATGATACCGAATTGTGAATTTGCGCATGCTGATGCACAGCAACCCAGCGGTTGGACAGCGGCAACATCTCAGGTTCGCTTGCAACAAGCCATGGACTCTGTTTTGCTCGGGCGAAGTAGGGAGTAGATGGCTGCCTCCTCGCCTTCATATGTTAAACTTCTTGACGGCGATGGCAGAACCAAAAGTGTTTTTCCAAAAACTCCTTTTCCCCATCTACCGGCCACAGATAAAGTCCCTCCAGGCTGGCAGCCACACCACAGGCCGCAGGCCCCGGGAGCCCCACGCGCCGCAGGCATGCCTCCCGACCCGCGCGGCCCCGGCCTCGCGACCCTCGCCCAGCTGCCGCCGCCCCCGCCCGCGCCAAAGCCCTCCTTCTCCGGCCGACCGGATTCCCTCCGGGCCCCCTGCGCCCGCGACTGGCCCATCCGATCCCAATGGCCGGGGATGCTCTCGGGGGGCCTGGCCAGCGGCGGGCTGGCGGTGGCGTGCGATTCTCGTAGAGTTCAGGCGGGCGCCGCGGCCGCGCGACCTGAACGCGGATCCGGGGCCAAATCGCCGAAGGTCGCTTCAAAATCATCGGCGCCGTACGCGGCGCCGTCATTCAAGGGGCGCGGGAGGGGGGGCAAGGGCGAGGACGGGAGCCAGGATGGGAGTCCGAAGATCGACCGTCGGAGCCCGTATTCGATTAATGTCGCTCTGGTGGGGGCTGGCAGCGTTTTTGAGGTGCTGGACCTGGTGGACAAGTACGGGGACTGCTTCAACGACGTTAATGCCGCCACGGCGTTTCACCGCGTGGCCAAGTTGACACCCCTGTCGAACCGGGGGGCAGTGCTGATGGACCCGCGCCTAGAGGTCGCGGTGTCCGCCGTGGATAAGTGGCTGCCCACGTTCAGCGGGAGGTGCCTGGCCACGGTGGCCTGGGGGCACGCCAGGCTGCGCCACGGGGGCCCCGGTTTTATGCGGAAGGTGGCGAGCAGGATGCTGGGGGTGTTGGACGAGAAGCCGGACAGCCTGAGCGAGACGGACTGGTCCAACCTGTTCTGGGCGTACGGAAAAGCCGGATTGACGCCGGAGGGGTTCGGCGAGAAGATGTTGCCCAGCCTGCTGCCCAAGCTGAAGACGTTCAGCTTGAGGTCCCTGGTGCACATTGTGTGGACGTGCGCCACGCTGGACCACAGCGACGACAAGCTGTTCCTGGAGATCAGCGACCAGGCGCTGCGGCCGGGGCGCCTGGCAAAGGCCGCGATCCAGTCCATCAGCAACATGCTGTGGAGCTTCGCCAAGATGGGGTGCTTCCCGGACGCCCTGTTTGCCAAGGTCTTGGAGAACGTGTCCCAGCGCGGCTCTGACATGAACGTGGTGGACCTGGCCCACGTGTTCTGGTCCGTCGCCAGGTACGTGACCCACAAGGTGGAGAGCACGGTGGACCT